TGATGCTTTGTTTTATAATCTCCTAGTTCCCTTTATGGATTCAGGATTTAATATTTTCAAGTTATCCATTAGAATTAATTGAGTAGGCGATACCAATGCTGATATAGAGTTTGGAAACAAGTTCTTATAAAATTCATAAATTGCATGCTCTTTTGCTGGCATTATAAGTCTACCACCATGCTCTAATTTAAAATAAACTTTTTTATCCATGATACTACCAATGCTATTTCCTGTTTGATTTTGATCCCTCTTTTTAAATTGATGTTCCGATACATCATATGATGTTATTCTATATGCAAGATTTAATGATTTAACTTCATAATGTTTTAAATCTTCACTGAAACATAAAGGAGATGGAGCTAAAATACTGAACGATTTTTTTTTTTTTTTATCAACTGTATCTGTTAATTTATTGATAAATGATATATTTTGTTCCGAATAATTATTTAGTTTTTTTATTATACTGTTTAATAATATTGTATTTTTATTGTTGAAATTACTTTTTAATTCCTCAATTAAACTATTGATTTTGTTTATATTTGTGTGAATGGGTTTAAATATTTCATGATCATTAATTGTCAACTTATTTAAAAAGTTTGATTGTACGTCAATATTGATATTTAAAAGTTGTTTCGGTGATTTGATGCACAATATAATTTCTTTTATTAAATTTGAAATATTTTCATAATTTTTTTCATTTTCAATTTTAAGTAAATATTTTTTTAATTCTATATAATAGGCTTCGTTTAGGTATTCTTTTATATACTCTGAAAGAGTATTTTGTTTTATATCATATATACTCATGAATATCTAAAATTTAATTTATAAAATTAACAAAAAAATAAAAATATAAATAAATTAATAAATAAAAAAATGCTTACCTAAAAAGAAGCTCAATTATTTATTTATATCAATTTTTTATTTCTTAATAATAAAAAAAAAATTATAAAATAATAGTTTTTTTTATTATTTTAAAAAATTTTAATATTTTTATTTTTTTTAAAAAAAAAACCAAGAAAATAAAATTTTTTTTGATCAAAAAAAAAATATCTTAAACATTCTTTATTGAAACCATTTGAGAAAAATTAAAAATAAAAAAAATTCCCAATACAAATTTTTAATTTAATAACATATTTTATTTTTTTTTATATTTTATCAATAAAATTTATTGAAATATTTTAATTTTTTTAATTTTTTTTAATTTTTTTATATAATTTATTAATATTGTAATATTTTTAATTTTTTTTTATATCATAAAAATTTATATTTTTTTTAAAAATAATTCAAAACAAAATTTTTCATCAACCTATTAACATTAAAATGAATAATAATTTCTTTTTATAAAATCACCAAATGATCTGATTCCCCATTTAAAGATTTTAAAATGATGTTTAATTTTAATTTTTTTTTAATTTAATTTTTACAATAAATGAAACATTAGATTCACAAGTTATTCCATATGGAACAACTGAATTAAAGTTTAATTTAGTGATTTTCAATTATCCAATTATATACCAGAATCCCCATTAAATAAATATGCAAATAAATAACAAAAGATTTTTTTTTTTTTTTTTTTTTAATATAAAAATTTGAGTATTTCTTCGGGTGTTTGTTTTCCAGTGGCTTTCTAAAAAAACATATAAAGAAGGTTTTGACTATCAATTTGAAACATTAAAACACAAAGATATAAAAGAACAATGTTTGTGATTAAATTTTAATTTTTTTTTAATTTTTTTTTTTTTTTATCAAAAAATTTTTTTTTTTTTTTTAAAAATTCACAAATTTATTAATATTTTTTCTAAAAAAAATAATAATTCAAAATAATTAATAATTCATTTTTGATAAACTTATAAGTATTAAAATGAATAATAATAATAATAATGTTTATAATCACACACATAATTTAGAATCAATTACAATATCAGATATAGATAATAATAATAAAAATGAAAAATTATTTTTTTCAGTGTGGAGAAACAAGTATCTATTAAATGAAATACAAAGACACCACAGGTTATATAATGAAAATAAAATAATAAATATTAACAAGTCAATGGATCAACTTAGATACCATCCACACAGAAGATATGCAACAGAAATTATAATTAATGTTGGTGAACCATTAGAACCACATGGTCAATTAATACCCTATGGTACAACCAAATTAAATTTCTTTGATCGTTTTAATAAACCAATTCAAGCAGGCGATATTCCAACAACTGTCACTTCCTTGGAACTAGATCAAGATATACCAATTGGAACTTTCCCACTATCGTTAACTACATTAAAGCAAAATAAATTCAATAGAACAATTACACCTGGTTCATTTGGTTCAATTGTAAATTTATCCCTAGAATCCTTCAATCAACCTTTAAAAGATGGTGATTTACCTATAACATGTAAATATCTATATCTTGGGTCTTACAATCAACCGCTCCAACCAAATATTCTTCCCCCAGAATTAAAAGAATTAAAATTATTACACTTTAACCACCCACTATCATACGGTGTACTTCCAGAATCAATCACTGATCTAAACATGAACTACTTTAATCACCCACTATTATATGGTGTACTTCCAGAATCAATCACAAATCTAAACATGAACTACTTTGATCACCCATTATCCAACTCTCTATCAGCACTACATTCATTAAAAACACTTTTTTTGGGTAGTTTTAATCAAGAGATATCAATCCAAACATTTCCACATTCAATCGAAAAATTATGGTTTTTTAGTTTTAATCGAGTTATAAAACCAAATGTACTTCCACCATCAATAACTGATCTCCTTTTATATGCATTTAACCAACCACTTTCAGAAGGTGTACCTCCAGAATCAATCACTGATCTACATATGAACCACCTTAATTGCCCATTATCCAACTCTCTATCAACACTACATTCATTAAAAAAACTCAATTTACAAAAATTTAATCAAATTATAAAACCAAATGAACTTCCATCAATAACTCAACTCAATTTAGATGCATATAACCACCCACTTTCAAACGGTGTACTTCCAGAATCAATCACTTTTCTAAGTATGGGCAAATATAATCACCCATTATCCAACTCTCTATCAACACTACATTCATTAAAAACACTCTTTTTACAAAGTTTTAATCAAGTTGTAAAACCAAATGAACTCCCAGAATCAATCACTTCAATAAGTAAAAACTTAGATCACTCATTATCCAACTCTAAACACTAAATTCATTAAAATCACTCTATTTACAAAGTTTTAATCAAATTTTAAAACCAAATGTACTTCCACCATCAATAACTAAACTCATTTTACATGCATATAACCACCCATTAGAACCACAAGTAATACCGCCAAACGTGGAACATCTAGAGCCAAAATCATATAATTGTAATCTTGGTAAACATTTATTCCCAAATACTTTAAAACATTTAGTTATATCAAAATATATCTATAATAAAAACATTCGAATAATTATAATTGGAAATAAAATAAAAATAATAAACAATAATTTTTTTTTGTAAAATCACCAAATGATCTGATTCCCCATTTAAAGATTTAAAATGATGGGTTTAATTTTAATTTTTTTTTTTTAATTTAATTTTTACAATAAATGAAATTAGATTCACAAGTTATTCCCTATGGAACAACTGAATTAGAATTTACTGATTTTTTCAATTCACCACACACTTTTTTATTCTGAATATTTTATCATTTTTTGTCATATTTATGCAATTTTATGCTAAAAAATGTAAAGATATGAAAAAAAAGTAAAAATATGAAAAAAAATGATAAAATATTAAGAATAAAAAAGTGTGTGGTTCGAGGTGTTTCATCTTCTATTCCATAATCTGTTTCTCAAAAACAATATAATCACCCTATACCAGAATAGATATCAATAAATGAAAATTCAAACAAATAAAAAAAAAAATTTTGTTAACCAAATTTGCAAATTTGAAATTAAAAATATAATACCCAAATTTTTGCACTAAATTTTGAAACAATAAATGTGTGGGCATACTTGAACCGCTTTTACAATAAAAAATTTAAATTTATTGTTGATTATTTCTTCAGGGTTCGTTTTCCTCATACTCGGTGGCTTATCAACAAGAAACATATAAAAATGATTTTGACCATCAATTTGACACATAAAAACACAAAGATATAAAAGAACAATGTTTGTTGTTTAATAAAATTAAAAAACTTTATTATTTTTTTAACACCAACTTTTCATAAAATTTATTAAAATAAAAAAAAATTAAAATTTTAATTTTTTTTTTTTTTTATCATAAAAATTTATTAATATTTTTTCTTAAAAAAATAATTCGAAACAAAATTTTTGATCAACCTATAAATATTAAAATGAATAATAATAATGACAGAATAGACAGTAATAATAATAATATTTATAATCACACACATAATTTAGAATCAATTACAATATCAGATATAGATAATAATAATAAAAATGAAATATTATTTTATTCAGTGTGGAGAAACAAGTATCTATTAAATGAAATACAAAGACACCACAAGTTATATAATGAAAATAAAATAATAAATATTAACAAGTCAATGGATCAACTTAGATACCATCCACACAGAAGATATGCAACAGAAATTATAATTAATGTTGGTGAACCATTAGAACCACATGGTCAACTAATACCCTATGGTACAACCAAATTAAAATTCTTTGTTCATTTTAATAAACCAATTCAAGCAGGCGATATTCCAACAACTGTAACTTCTTTACAATTTTCTAAAACTGATGAAGAATTTTTTAATTATTTTTATTCACATCGTTTCGATATTAAATCAGTTGTCCCACCAAGTGTTACTAAATTGAATCTCGGTATAGATCAAGAAATTTCACCAAATACATTACCACCATCACTTACCAGTTTAAAAATGGAACTAGATCAAGATATACCAATTGGAACTTTCCCACAATCATTAACTACATTAAAGCAAAATAAATTCAATAGAACAATTACACCTGGTTCATTTGGTTCAATTGTAAATTTATACCTAGAATCCTTTAATCAACCTTTAAAAGCTGGCGATTTACCTATAACATGTAAACATCTATATCTTGGCTCTTACAATCAACCGCTCCAACCAAATACTCTTCCCCCTGAATTAAAAGAATTAGAACTAATAAAATTTAACCACCCACTATCATACTGTGTACTTCCAGAATCAATTACTTTTCTACGCATGGACGACTTTGATCACCCATTATCCAACTCTCTATCAGCACTACATTCATTAAAAACACTCTTTTTGAGTAGGTTTAATCAAGAGATATCAATCCAAACATTTCCACACTCAATCGAAAAATTTTGTTTTTTTAGTTTTAATCGAGTTATAAAACCAAATGTACTTCCACCATCAATAACTGAACTCTTTTTATATACATTTAACCAACCACTTTCAGACGGTGTACTTCCAGAATCAATCTCTTTTCTACGTATGAACCACCTTAATCACCCATTATCCAACTCTCTATCAACACTACATTCATTTAAAACACTCTATTTACAAAGATTTAATCAAGTTATAGAACCAAATGAACTTCCATCAATAACTAAACTCAATTTATATACATTTAACCACCCACTTTCAGAAGGTGTACTTCCAGAATCAATCACTTTTCTAAGAATGAAAGACTTTAATCACCCATTATCCAACTATCTATCAACACTACATTCATTAAAAACACTCAATTTACAAAGTTTTAATCAAATTATAAAACCAAATGAACTTCCACCATCAATAACTGAACTCATTTTATATGCATATAACCACCCACTTTCAGACGGTGTACTTCCAGAATCAATCACTTCAATATGTATGAACAAATTTAATCACCCATTACCCAACTCTTTATCAACACTACATTCATTAAAAACACTCAATTTACAAAGATTTAATCAAAATTTAAAACCAAATGTACTTCCACCATCAATAACTGAACTCATTTTACATGAATATAACCACCCATTAGAACCACAAGTAATACCGCCAAACGTGGAACATTTAGAGTTAGCATTATATAATTGTAATCTTGGTAAACATTTATTCCCAAATACTTTACAATATTTAGTTATGTCAAACTATTCAAATGAATTATTGGAAAATGATTTACCATCATCAATTACAGAACTTAATATCGAATCGAATTATACTTCAAATCCAATCCGATTTCAAATTAATTCAATACCACCATCAGTAAAAAAATTAATACTCCCAATTGACCATTCCCAACCTCTTCAAGTCGGTACTATACCCAATTCAGTAGTAGATTTAGAGCTACCCAGACACTATTCCCACCCTCTTCAAGTCGGTGCTATACCCAATTCAGTTACACATTTAACTTTACCTAAGGTATTTAGTCCTCTCCAAGTAGGTGTATTACCAGAATCTCTCACTAAACTGACATTTAGAAAAGGATTTGATCAACCAATAGACCCAGCTACTATTCCACAATCTGTTACTCAAATATTATTACCTAACTATTATAAACACCCAATACCAAAATCTTTATTAAATATAATAAAAACATTCGAATAATTACAATTGAAAATAAAATAAAAATAATGAACATAATTTTTTTATTATAAAATCTCTGATTCCCCATTTAAAGATTTAAAATTATGGGTTTAATATAAAAAAAATTTTTAATTTTTAATTTTAATTTTTTTAATTTTTTTTTATATTTTATTTTTTAATAAAAATTTATAAATATTTTTTTAAGAAAAAATAATTCAAAACCAAATTTTCAATCAACCTATAAACATTAAAATGAATAATAATAATAATATTTATAATCATACACATAATTTAGAATCAATTACAAAAACAGATATAGATAATAATAATAAAAATGAAAAATTATTTTTTTCAGTATGGAGAAACAAGTATCTATTAAATGAAATACAAAGACACCACAGGTTATATAATGAAAATAAAAAAATAAATATTAACAATTCAATGGATCAACTTAGATACCATCCACACAGAAGATATGCAACAGAAATTATAATTAATGTTGGTGAACCATTAGAACCACATGGTCAATTAATACCCTATGGTACAACCAAATTAAAATTCTTTGATCGTTTTAATAAACCAATTCAAGCAGGCGATATTCCAACAACTGTCACTTTTTTAGAATTTTCTACAACTAATAATTATTCTCATCGTTTCGATATTAAATCAGTTGTCCCACCAAGTGTTACTGAATTGCATCTCGGTATAAATCAAGAAATTTCACCAAATACATTACCACCATCACTTACCAGTTTAAAAATGGAAATAGATCAAGATATACCAATTGGAACTTTCCCACAACCATTAACTACGTTATATCAAAACAAATTCAATAGAACAATTACACCTGGTTCATTTGGTTCAATTGTAAATTTATCCCTAGAATCCTTTAATCAACCTTTAAAAGCCGGTGATTTACCTATAACATGTAAATATCTATATCTTGACTCTTACAATCAACCTCTCCAACCAAATATTCTTCCCCCTGAATTAAAAGAATTAGAATTATTACGCTTTAACCACCCACTATCATACGGTGTACTTCCAGAATCAATCACTGATCTAAACATGAACTATTTTAATCACCCGCTATCATATGGTGTACTTCCAGATTCAATCACCAATCTAGGAATGGACGACTTTGATCACCCATTATCCAACTCTCTATCGGCACTACATTCATTAAAAACACTCTTTTTGGGTAGTTTTAATCAAGAGATATCAATCCAAACATTTCCGCACTCAATCGAAAAATTAAGTTTTTATAAATTTAATCAAGTTATAAAACCAAATGTACTTCCACCATCAATAACTGGTCTCTTTTTATATGCATATAACCACCCACTTTCAGACGGTGTACTTCCAGAATCAATCACCAATCTACGTATGAACCACCTTAATCACCCACTATCCAACTCTCTATCAACACTACATTCATTTAAAACACTCCACTTAGAAAGATTTAATCAAGTTATAGAACAAAATGAACTTCCATCAATAACTCAACTCAATTTATTAACATTTAACCACCCACTTTCAGACGGTGTACTTCCGGAATCAATCACTTTTATAACTATGAAAGACTTTAATCACCCATTATCCAACTATCTATCAACACTACATTCATTAAAAACACTCCTTTTACAAAGTTTTAATCAAGTTATAAAACCAAATGAACTTCCAGAATCAATCACTTTACTGCGTATGAACAGCTTTAATCACCCATTATCCAACTCTCTATCAACACTACATTCATTAAAAACACTCATTTTACATGCATATAACCACCCATTAGAACCACAAGTAATACCTCCAAACGTGGAACATTTAGAGTTAACATCATATAATTGTAATCTTGGTAAACATTTATTCCCAAATACTTTACAGCATTTCGTTATTTCAAAATATTCAAATGAATTATTGGAAAATGATTTACCATCATCAATTACAGAACTTAATATTGAATCGAATTATACTTCAAATCCAATCCGATTTCAAATTAATTCAATACCACCATCAGTAAAAAAATTAATACTCCCAATTGACCATTCCCAACCTCTTCAAGTCGGTACTATACCCAATTCAGTAGTAGATTTAGAGCTACCCAGACACTATTCCCACCCTCTTCAAGTCGGTACTATACCCAATTCAGTTACACATTTAACATTACCTAAAGTATTTAGTCCTCTCCAAGTAGGTGTATTACCAGAATCTCTCACTAAATTGACATTTAGAAGAGGATTTGATCAACCTATAGACCCAGCTACTATTCCACAATCTGTTACTCAAATATCATTACATTATGATTATAAACACCCAATACCAAACTCTTTAATAAATATAATAAAAAAATTTTTATAAAAATAATAAACAATAATTTTTAAACTATTGATTTTGTTTTTATTTTTGTGAATGGGTTAAAGTATTTTATATTCATTATTTGTTAACTTTAAAGTTTAAAAAGTTTGATTGAACATCTTCATTGATTTTTATTAATTAAAATATAAAAATAATAAAATTAAAAAAAAAAAAAAAAAATTTCAAAAAAAATCTTTTAATAAAATTTTTTTTTTTTTTATTTGAATTTGAATTTGATTAAATCTAAACATTAAATATGTGTAAGTAATATATTTATATATATTTTTAATATTTAAATAAATAAAATAATTGTTTTTCTTATCAATCATAAAGCACACATCAATGAAAACAATATTAAAAATAATTGTAATGATATATTATTTTTTTCAATATGGAGAAATAAATATATATTAAAAGAAATACAAAAACATCACAGGTTATATAATAGTAATAGAAGAATAGTTGTTGACAAATCAATGGATCAACTTAGATATCATCCACATAGAAGATATGCAACAAAAATAACTTTTACAACAAATGAAACATTAGAACCACAAGATATTCCCTATGGAACAACTGAATTAGAGTTTACAGATTTATTCAATAAACCAATTATAGCAGGTACTATTCCTCCAACTATAACTATAATATATTTTAGTTACAAGTACATTCAACAGATCGATATTCAATCTGCAATACCACCTAGTGTTAGAGAATTAGATTATTTTAGGTATGATAAAACCCTAACACCAAATATGCTTCCGCCATCTATTATCAGTTTAATTATGAAATCTTTTAATCAAGAAATTAATATTGGCGTGTTTCCACAATCATTGACTTTTTTGAATCTATCTAGATTCAATAAAAGCATTATACCTGGTTCATTTGGTTCAGTGGTAAAATTAATTCTAGGCTCCTTTAATCAACCTTTAAAAGCTGGTGACTTACCAATAACATGTACATATTTAGACCTCATCTCATATAGTAACCCAATAGGATCAAATATTCTCCCACCTCAATTGAAAACATTGAATCTTGATAAATTTAATCATCCAATACCACATAATGCACTTCCAGAATCAATCACAGAGCTATATATGTATAAATTTAATAAACCACTATCAAACTGCCTATCATCACTACAATCATTAAAATCACTTAAAATGCCTTTTTATAATCAAGAGATATCAATTGGAGATTTACCCAGCTCTATTGAAACATTAGAACTACAAAATTTTAATAAAATTTTAAAACCTAATGTACTTCCATCATCAGTAACTAAACTCGTTATAAAGTGTTATAATCATCCATTAGAACTACAAGTAATACCACCGAATATGAAATTTTTAAATCTATCCTCGTATAACAAAACACTGGGTAAACACATACTCCCAAATACTTTAGAGGTATTATTAATTAATAATCAAAGTAGTTTATCAGAAAATGATTTACCATCATCAATTACTAATCTTTGTTTTGGTGATTTCGGGCCTTGTTCTAGTTCACTCCCAATTAATTCAATTCCACCATCAGTTAAAATTTTAACACTGCCCTATTACTATAAACAACCTCTTCAAATTGGTTTAATTCCCAAATCAGTTAAAGATTTAACTTTACCTCACGACTATGATCATCCCATTCAAGTAGGTCTATTACCAGAATCTCTTTTAAGATTGAAATTTGGTCATCAATTTAACCAACCTCTAGATCCAAATACTATACCACAATCAGTTAACTATATTATATTATATAAATCCTATCAACACCAAATACCAGGGTCTTTATCCAGCAGGTTAACTATTTATAAAGTTTAAAATAAATGTATCCAAAGTAACTCTGAGTTTAAATGGTGATATTGGACATTAAAAAATCATTATTTAAACATTTGATATAAATTTCATATTTTTAATAATAAATCTGATATTGTTATGCCGGCACAAGATAATATTAAAAAATTAAAAAAAATAAAAAAAAATAAAAAAAAAATTTAAAAAAAAAATCTAATTATTAATTTTTTTTTGTTTTTATGAAATTAATCTATAATATTTTTAAAAATGTGTAAGTAATCTCAATAAAATATTTTTTTATTTTTATTTTATAACTATATTAACATTATAATTATTTTCTTTCTACAAATTATTTTAATTTTTTTCCCAATTTTAGCTCACATTAAAAACAGCAATAATAATAATAATAATATAGAAAATAATGATAATTTATTTTTTTTAATTTGGAGAAACATATATTTATTAAAAGAAATACAAAGACATCTCAGGTTATATAATAGTAATCGGATAATTAATATTAACCAATCAATGGATCAACTTAGATATCACCCACATAGAAGATATGCAAGTAAAATTATTATTGGGGTAAATGAACCATTAGAACCACATGGTCAATTAGGACCATATGGTAAACTTATTCCTTATGGAACAACTGAATTAGAATTTACTAGTTCCTTCAAGATACCAATTATAGTAAAAGGTGATATCCCCCCAACCGTCACATGTTTGATATTATCCCCTTCTTATAGACAACAGATAGATATTAAATCAGCTATACCGTCAAGTGTCACTAAATTAGAATACTGTAACTATAATCAAGAACTAAAACCAAAAATGTTACCACCATCACTCACCAGTTTAAATATATCTTATACGAAACAAGAACTCAGTATTGGTACTCTTCCACAATCGTTGACCTATTTAAATCTATATGGGTTTAATGAAAGGATTATTCCTGGTTTATTTGGTTCGGTTACAGAGTTAAACCTTGGAAGCTTTAATCAATCTTTAAATGCTGGTGATATACCTATTACATGTATAAATCTTAAACTTGGTTCATATACCCATCCACTTTTATCAAATGTTCTTCCACCCCATTTGGAAAAATTAGAATTAGCATTATATAATAATCCAATATCACATGGCATACTTCCCGAATCAATAACAGAACTTTGTATGAAACACTATAATCAACCAATTTCAAACTCTTTGTCTTCTCTGTACTCGTTAAAAACACTAAAAATGTTTAATTTCGATCAAGAGATATCTATTGGAGAACTGCCGTGCTCTATAAAACAATTGGAGCTAGCTCAATTTAACCAAGAATTAAAACCAAATGTACTTCCGCCATCAATAACCAAGCTAATTTTATTCAGTTATTCTCATCCATTAGAACCACAAGCAATACCTCCATATGTGCAATATTTAGAACTTCTGTCATTCACTAAAAAATATACATTCCCAGATTCAATAAGGCATTTATCAATACCAAACTTTTATAATTTAGATAAAGATTTTCTATCATCAATTACACAACTTGGTTATGAACGAAACTGCAGTTTAAATTCATATGGAAAGGTTTTAGAGCTTCCACCATCCAGTTTCATTCCTTATCTGGCTGGAAAACCCAAAGCATTAGTAAAATTAATTTTTCCTTCTCACTTTAATCATCCTCTTCAAATCGGTATTATACCTAATTCAGTATTAGATTTAACTTTTTCTTCATACTATGATCATCCTCTTCAAGTGGGTGTATTACCAGAATCCCTCACTAAATTAACCTTTGGTGATCGTTTTAATCAACAAATAGACCCAAATACTATTCCACAATCTGTAACTCAAATAGAATTATCTAGATTATATAAACATCCAATTCCAGACTCTTTATCTAACAGGTTAAAATATAGTTTTTATTAAAAATAAAAAAAAAAAAATAAAATAAAATAAAATAAAATAAAATAAAAAAATAAAAATTCTTTTTTTATTTTATTTTGATTTTTTTTAATTTTTTTCAATTCTTAAAAAAACGAAAATATGGATAATAATAATATTATTATAGATAACAATAATAATTATAATAATGATATATTATTTTTTTCAATATGGAGAAATTTGTATATATTAAGTGAAATACAAAGACATATCAGGTTATATAATGAAAATGAAATTATAAAAATTAACCAATCAATGGATCAACTTAGATATCATCCACATAGAAGATATGCAACTAGAATTATCATTTCGATTAATGAAGCATTAGAACCACATGGTCAAATTATACCCTTTGGTACATCCGAATTGTGTTGATGGTTTTAATAAACCGATAAAGTCTGGGGATATTCCAACAACAGTCACTAGTCTATTATTTAATCAGAGTTATAGTCATCAAATAGATATTAAATCAGTTTTCCCACCAGGTGTTACCAATATAAACTATTTAAATCAAGAAATCACACCACATACATTACCACCATCACTTGCCAATTTAACTCTTGGATATAATCAAGATTTTGCAATTGGAACTTTCCCCAAATCATTAACTTTTTTAAATCTAATTAGTTTCAATAAGACTATTACACCTGGTTCTTTTAGTTCAATAGTAAAACTAATTCTACCATCTTTTGATCAACCTTTAAAAGCTGGTGACTTACCTATATCATTGGAAGAATTAACACTCTTCAGTTTCGATCAACCACTTCAACCAAATGTTCTTCCACCTCAATTAAAAAAATTAGTTGTAATATTCTTTAATCAACCTTTATCACCTGGTGTATTTCCTGAATCAATCACTGATCTAACCATGGACTTCTTCGATCACCCATTATCAAACTCTCTATCAAAATTACATTCATTAAATACACTGAATTTAAAAAATTTTGATGAAGATATATCTATGGAAACATTTCCAAACTCAATTACAAATATGTCTTTTGATAACTTTAATCAACCTTTAAAACCAAATGTACTTCCACCATCAATAACTAAACTTATTTTACCTAATTATTACCACCATCCATTAGAACCAAAAGAAATACCACCCAATGTTCAACATTTAGATTTAGGATCATACAATCATAAACTTGGTAAAAATATACTCCCAAATACTTTGAAATATTTATCAATTTGCTCAAATGAATTATCAGAAAATGATTTACCGTCATCTATTACAAAACTCAATTTGAAAGTTTGTGACCCAAATACTCAATTACAAATACCCTCTTTGTCAGAAATAATAAAAAGAATGAAAAAGCAATAAATAAAAATAAATAACAAAATAGGTTTTTAAAAAAAAATAGGTTTTCAAAATAATATTATTTTTTTTTTTTTTAATAAATTATCCAAAACAAAATTTTCTATCAACCTATAAATATTAAAATGAATAATAATAGTGATAGAATAGACAGTAATAATAATAATATTTATAATCACACACATAATTTAGAATCAATTACAAAAACAGATTTTGATAATAATAATGAAATATTATTTTTTTCAGTGTTGAGAAACAAGTATCTATTAAATGAAATACAAAGACATCACAGGCTATATAGAAAAAATAAAATAATAAATATTAACAATTCAATGGATCAACTTAGATATCACCCACATAGAAGATATGCAACAGAAATTATAATTGATGTTGATGAACCATTAGAACCACATGGTCAAGTAATACCCTATGGTACAACCAAATTAAAATTCTTTGGTAAACTTGGTAAATTTAATAAACCAATTCAAGCAGGCAATATTCCAGCAACAGTCACTTCTTTGAAATTTTCTACAATAGCTGGTTTAAAATTTAATAATTATTCACATCAATTTGATATTAAATCAGTTGTCCCACCAAGTGTTACTAAATTGAATCTCGGAATAAACCAAAAAGTTTCACCAAATACATTACCACCATCACTTACCAGTTTAAAAATGAAACTAGATCAAGATACACCAATTGGAACTTTCCCACAATCATTAACTACATTAAAGCAATATAATTTCAATAGAACAATTACACCTGGTTCATTTGGTTCAATTGTAAATTTATCCCTATACTCCTTTAATCAACCTTTAAAAGCCGGCGACTTACCTATAACATGTAAATATCTATTTCTTGGCTCCTACAGTCAACCGCTCCAACCAAATATTCTTCCCCCTGAATTAAAAGAATTAGAATTATTACGCTTTAATCACCCACTATCATACGGTGTACTTCCAGATTCAATCACTGATTTAAGTATGCATTTCTTTGATCACCCATTATCCAACTCTCTATCAGCACTACATTCATTAAAAACACTCAACTTACTAAGTTTTGATCAAGAGATATCAATCGAAACTTTCCCACCCTCTATAAATTCATTAGCTTTGTATAGTTTTAATCAAATTTTAAAACCAAATGTACTTCCACCATCAATAACAAAAATCATTTTACATGAATATAACCATCCATTAGAACCACAAGTAATACCGCCAAACGTGGAAATTTTAATGTTAAGATCATATAATTGTAATCTTGGTAAACATTTATTCCCAAATACTTTACAATACTTAGTTATATCAAACTATTCAAATGAATTATTGGAAAATGATTTACCATCATCAATTACAGATCTTCATTTCGAATCAAATATTAGCTATGCTTCAAATCCGATTCGATTTCAAATTAATTCAATACCACCATCAGTAAAAAAATTAAAACTCCCAGATATCCATTCCCAACCTATTCAATCCTGTCTTATACCCAATTCAGTAGTATATTTAGAGCTACCCAAATACTATTCCCACCCTCTTCAAGTCGGTACTATACCCAATTCAGTTACATATTTAAAATTACCTAAAGTATTTAGTCCTCTCCAAGTAGGTGTATTACCAGAATCTCTCACTAAATTAACATTTAGAAAAGGATTTGATCAACCAATAGACCCAGCTACTATTCCACAATCTGTTACTCAAATATCATTACCTTATGATTATAAACACCCAATACCAAACTCTTTATTAAATTTAATAAATACCAATTATTAAAATTAGAAATAAAATATATATAATGAATGAAAATAATAAACATTTTTTTAAAACTCCAGCCCTAACAAACAATTAAATAATATTTATAAAATTTTAATTTAAAAATTATTCAATGCTTTTATTTCAAATTTCTAATTTAAAAATAATATTATGTTTTATGTTTTATTTATCGTTTTTTAAAAAATAAAATTTTTTTTTTTTATTTTTTATTTTTTCATTTTAAATTTTAAATTTCATAAAAATTTTTTTTTGTTATAAATAATTCAAGCAAAATTTTCAATATTAAAATGAATAATAATGATGGTAGAATAGATAAAAATGGAAATTATAATCACACACATAATTTAGAATCAATTACAAAAACAGATAAAGATAATAATAATAAAAATGAAAAATTATTTTTTTCAGTGTGGAGAAACAAGTATCTTCAAAACGAAATACAAAGACACCACAGGTTATATAGAAAAAATAAACAATTAACAATTGACAAATCAATGGATCAACTTAGATATCACCCACATAGAAGATATACAACTTCATTAAATATTGCTGTTAATGAACCATTAGAACCACAAATAATACCTTATGGAGCAAAAAAAATTCATTTTACTGGAAATTTTAATAAACCAATCAAAGCAGGCGATATTCCAAATACAGTAAATAACTTATATTTTTGTAATAATTTCACCCAGCCAATAGATATTAAATCGACCATACCATCAAGTGTAACAAAATTAGAAATAACTACATATGATTCAATAGTCACCCCAAATATGTTTCCATCTTCTCTCACCAGTTTAAAAATTCGATCATATCAAGGTTCGGGTATCGACATTTTTCCAAAATCTTTAAATAGTTTAGGTATATATGACTTTAACAGTGAAATAGTACCAGGTTTGTTTGGTTCTGTAGAAGAATTGTTTTTAAATTCCTTTAATCAACCTTTAGAACCAAAAAATTTACCAAAAACATGCCAAAAACTCTCACTATGTAAATATATTCATCCATTAAAACCAAAAACTCTTCCACCCAATTTAAAAAGATTGAATCTAAGCTGTTTTAATCATCCAATATCACATGGTGTACTTCCAGAAACAATCACTGAATTGTTACTTGGTGATTTTAATCAACCATTATCAAATTCTCTTTCATCATTAAAATCATTAAAAAGACTATCTTTATTTTCTTTCAATCAAGACTTAAAAAATGGAGAGTTACCAAACTCTATTGAATTTTTATTTTTATGTTCATATAATAAAACTTTAAAACCAAATGTACTTCCATCTTCAATTACGGATCTAAAGTTTATGCATTTTAACTGTCAATTTGAACCACAAGCAATTCCTCCCAACGTAAAAATATTATGGCTAAATTCATATAAACTCACCCTTGGTAAACATTTATTACCAAATAATTTAGAAACTTTAACATTAAATAGTAAAAAAACTTTATTAGAAAATGATTTACCATCATCGATTACACACCTTAATTGTAATTTCAAAGGTCCAAATTCTTTCGAAATCAATTCTATTCCACCATCAGTTAAAACACTACGACTTACAACAGAAAATTTACAACCTCTTCCAATCGGCTTAATTCCCAATTCAGTTGTTAAATTAACTCTTAATGATTATAATCATCCTCTTCCTGTAGGTGTATTACCAGAATCCCTCACTAAATTAACCTTTGGTGATGAATTTGATCAACCTCTAGATTCAAATGCTATTCCCCAATCGGTTACTAAAATTTCTTTATATAATAAATCCTATCAACATTCAATACCAGAGTCTTTATCTAAAAAGTTAAAAATTAAAAAAAAAACCTTTTTTTAAATATAATAAATGAAATCTATTTTTAAAAATAATAAAAAATAAAACTTTTATTTATTTTAATTTAAATTATTGTTTTCTAAATTACTTTTATTAGCCATAAAAATATAGATAGATATTTTATTTTTAATATTTTACTATTTGTGGTATTTTGGAAATTTAATTATTGGATGTTGGTAGAAGATTGAATAATCAATTTTTTGTTTGGGGTTTGAAATGGAGTCAAATTTTAAAGGGTATTTTACATCCCCCAAAAAAACAGTAGTATTAGAGTCAGGGATAATTCCTTTTGTAAAAGGTTGAGAGAAACCATTATCAAATATAAGAGTAGTTAAATGATTTGGAATTGAACCAGGTGTTAATTGATACCAGATGTTATATAAATACAAGCATTCTACGGTAGGTGGTATAAACTTAAGTGGTTGATTAAAGCCATCTAGTAAATATAAACATGTAACTGTTGTTGGAATTGAATCAGGTATTAATAGATAATTGATATTTTGTAAAAGTAAGCATTGTACGGTGGGTGGTATAAAACTAAGTGGTTGATTAAAGCCATCAAGCAATAATAGATGTGAAACTGTTGCTGGAATTGTTATGGGTAAACTTTGAATATGTCCAATAGCAAGGCATCTAATTTTTAAATTACTAATATCGAACCCGTCTTCTTCATAGATTGTATATTCTGAATTTAAAACTAAACAAGTATTTATAAGTAATATTAGTAAAAAATAAAAATTAAAAAATTTAATGTTAAAACTTACATTTTAGTGTTTTAAAACCTTTTTTAACTAAGGGAATACCACTAAGTACTTCTAAATAACTGTTTGTTAGATCTTTGATTGAGTTTAGATTATTTTTTTTAATTATTATTTGGGTATTTTTATATTCTGGTAGGATATTTTTATTTATATTGGATAAAAGATTGCTGCATTGATGATTTTGTTTTAAAAATTCAATATACCCATTTTCATTATTATTATCATTATAATTATAAACATCATTAAAATTAATAGCCTTATTAATTTTAGTATTATTAGTCTCTATTGATGTTGTTATTATATTGTTTATATCGGTATTTTCATCCAATTTAGTCAATAATAATCTTTTGACATCATTTTCTTTTGAATTGATAATATGTTTTAATTCCTTAAAAATATTAAAAGTTCTATCAAAATTCTTTGTATGATTATCTTGAATTTGTTTAAAGTTGTTGTTTGAAATAGCCAATAATTTTTTATTATTTTCAAAATAGTAGTTTAGTTTTGGTATTGTTTGATTTTTAAAATCTTGTTGTAATTGATTTCTTAAACTTAAATCATTTAATTTTTTAAAACTATGGCCGCCATGAATCTCGACAACACAATCAATACATACAGGAGTATTATTTGGACAGGTTGAGCATATTAAAGAAATATCTTGGCAAGGGTGATTAAAGCATTTGGTATCATATTGTTGATTATTTGACATTATTTGTTTAGAATTTAAATATTTGTTTTTTACAATAATTATTTATAATTTATTTATTTATTTATTTATTTATTTGTTTATTTATTTATTTATTTATTTATTAAAATTGTTTTTTATAACAACAAAAAAAAAATATAAAAATATATAATATTTTTTTTTAAAACAAAAATTAAGTGACTTAATTTTTTTTTTTACTATTTTTGATTTGATTTATTTTGTGTAATCCTCAATATTATTACTGTGGGTTAAAATTATATTTAATGTGTTGTAAAAATTGGATTTTATAAAAACTAAAAGACAAAAGGCTAAATTTAATAATATAAAAAAAAAATTTTAAAATTTTTAAATTTATTTTTGTGGAATGCTTTTTTTTTTAAAAGGTTGGTGTGTCTGTTTTACAAAATTTTTAAAGGCCATTACTTTCCAAAGAGTTAATAATAAATTTAAAAAATTTTGCACCTATCATTTAAATAAATTAACATATTTTTAAAGTGATTTTTTTAAAAAAAAATTAACTAAAATTTATTTGAATTTTCTTTATATCTAAGAATTGTTCCAGTTAAATTTATTATTATTTGTTTTGATGGAAAAAAAAAGTGTCAATTTTAAAAATATAATAAAAAATTCCAATTTTTTAATTATTTATTTTAAAAATAAATAAAATAAATTTTATATAACATTATCAGTATATTTTCTATTTTATTGTGAAATCACCTTCTTTGAGTGGGCTACTAAATGATTTCGTGGGAATTCTAGTTCAGTTGTTCCATAGGGTATAAGTTGACCATTGTTCAAGGACTGAACCCCTTACTCCTGTTGCATATCTTCTATGTGGTGTCAATATCTATTATTTTATTTTCATTATATAACCTGCGATGTGTTTGAATTTTGTTTAATGGATACTTGTTTCTCCATATTGAAAAAAACAATGTATCATTATTATTATCTATATTATCATTATTTATATTATCTGTACAATTTATCTATATCAATACTATTATTATAAAAACAAATAAAGGGGAAATGAATCATGAAATAATTTATTCTTGTTATATTGGAAAGATTGAGGACTTTTATATTATTCCATTCTCTTAAATATTTAAATTTAATAAAAGTAAAAAATTTAATAAAAGTAAAAAAACAAAAAATGACTTTTTTTTTTTATTTTTTTTTTTTATTTTTTTTTTTTTTTTAAATTTTATAAAATGTTTGCAATTTTCGCATCATAATTATTATTTTTTTTTTTTAAATGTATTGATAATTATAATAAAAGTAATAATACATGAATAATAAAAGATAAAAGAAATTTTAGATGAATACGAAGAGTTTTTAAGAAGTGGTGTTGATGAGTGGACGTCATTAAATTTAAAGAGATTTGCAAAATGACACAGTATCTGCAATCCATTGGCCTGGATATAAGATATGAAATCGCTAAAATTCAACTTCATAAATCAAAAATAATATTAATAATAATAATAACAAAATATCTTTGTAAAACATATTTTACCCCAGCTATTTCATCAGATCCAACAAAAACAGCATTTTCACCATTATACCCATCAAAATTTAAATCCTATTTGGACACCATCATTTATTATTGTTGATGACCTTTATAAACAAATTAAATTGATAGTACCTACTTTTAACAAAGACCTCTGAGTTAATTAAGTAAAAAAATTTAATATCTATTGTCCAAGTCAATTCAGGTATCAAATATATTTCGTTATGGAGGTAGAATCAATTATTTTCAAAATGAGCTAGGGAGTCCAATATATAAATGTATAGCATTGGTTAAAACTATACAAATTAGAAGTGCTTTTAGGTGTAATAGACCAGGGTACAGAAAGAAGATGATATTTAAATGAGGAACAAGAAATCAAATAAAATGATTAAGATAGATGCCAATCAGGTTAAGGATGTTAGCTCTAAATGAAGTGGCTCATCAAAACATAATATCAAAAAACATAGCCATAAAAAAATTATTAGAAATTATTTTATTTTTAATATTTTTTTATTTTATTTTATTTAATTTATTTTTTGAAATTTGTATCCCGTTGAATAATTAATTTTTTGATTGGGGTTTGAAATGGAGTCATGTTCTAAAGGATGGACCACATCTTCCATATAAATGGTAGCTGTAGAGCCAGGGATAATACCTTTTGTAAAACGTTGAGAGAAGCCATTGGAAAATGTAATTTGAGTTAAATGATTTGGAATTGAACCAGGTTTTAATTTAAACTCGATGTTTCCTAATTCCAAACACTTTATGGTGGTTGGAATAAAATTAAGTGGTTGATCAAAACCTTTTAGTAAATATAAATATTTAACTGATGCTGGAATTGAATTATGTGTTAATTGATACTTGATGTTATATAAATACAAGTGTTCTACGTCGGGTGGTATAAAATCAAGTGGATGACTAAAACAATCTTGTAAAACTAAATGTGTAACTGTTTTTGGAATTGGACCAAGCAATAAATGATACTTGATGTTTTGTAAATTCAAGCAGTATATCTTTGGTGGTATAAATTTAAGTGGTTGATTAAAGCCATCTAGTAATATTAAATGTTGAACTGTTTCTGGAATTGAATCAGGTGTTAATTGATACTTGATGTTTTGTAAATACAAGTATTGTACGGAGGGTTGTATAAAATCAAGTGGTTGATTAAAGCCATCTAGTAATAATAAATGTGTAACTTTTTTTGGAATAGCTTTTGGTAAACATTGGGTAGGTCCAATAGCAAGGGAATCAATATTTAAATGACTAATATCATACCCCTCTCTGTAAATTTTAAATTCTTTTTGACACACTTAATTAAAAAAAAAGAGAAAAGTTAGGTATTATTAGTATAAAATAAAAATTTTAAACTTAATGTTAAAAATTACATTTTAAGGTTTTTAAATTTTTAACGAGTACTTCTGAATAGTTGTTTATTAGATCTTTGATTGAGTAGAGATTATTTTCTTTAATTATTAATTGGTTATCCTTATATACTGGTAAGTCGTTATTATTATTATTTATATTTGATAAAAGATTATTACATTGATGATTGAGTTTTAAAAGTTTAATAAATTCATTATTATCAATATTATAATTAACACAATAATTATAATAAATAGCATCAAAAATTATATTATTATTATTTTTTATTTTTGTTGTTATTTTATTTTTTAAATTTTTATTTTTTTTGAATTTAGATTTTAATAATTCTTTGATATCATTTTCTTTTTCATTGATAATATCTTTTAATTCTTTAAATATGTTTAAATTTTTATCTAAATTATTTTTATAACTATCTTCAATTTGTTTAAATTGATTGTTTGATTCATCCAATATTTTTTTATTATTTTCTAAATAGTTTTTAATTTTTGGTGCAGTTTGATTTTTAAAATCTTGGTCTATTTTATTTCTTAAATTTATATCATTTAATCTTTTAAATCTATGACCATCATGAATTTCTACAATACAGTCAATACATACAGGAGTATTGTTTGGACAAGTTGAGCATACCCAAATAATATCTTGATAAGGGTGTTCTAAGCATTTGGTATCACAATGTTGATTATTTGACATTATTTTTTTTTAGAATTTAAACTTAGTTTTTTAAATTACAATAGTTATTGTTTATAATTTTTTATTTAATAAAACAAAATAAATTTTTTTATTCAATCCAATTATAAAAATTTTAATATCAATTAAAGTGAAAAAAATAAAAATTAAGTGACTTAATTTTTTTTCTAACTTTAAAAGTTTAATTTATAAAAACCTCCATTTTACTGTGTGTGAAATTATATTTAAAGTGTGGTTAAAATTGGATTTTAAAAAAACTTAAAGACAAAAGGGGTAAAATAAATAATAAATATAAAAAATTAATTTTTTAATTACATTTCCCATATAAAATTTCAAAATAATTTTTTTTTTTTTTTTTTTCAAATTTTTAAAAATGATATATTTTTATCAACCACATTATATTTTTATTTTTTTTTATTTTCTTCTTTTTTTTTTTTTTTAAATTTTAAAAAATGATTACAATATTCACAACATAATTAAGTTTTTTTTTTTTTTAAATGTATTGAATAATTGATAATTATAACAAAAGTAATAATAAATGAATAATAAAAGATTAAAAAGAAATAACGATGATGTTATAAAGCAAGAAACTGCACCAAAAGAACCAAGTGAAGAAGAATCAGATAAAAACATTTTAGATGAATATGAAGAGTTTTTAAGAAGTGGTGTTGATGACTGGACCTCATTAAATTTAAAGAGATTTGCAAATAAAATTGGGTTAGAAATTAAAAGTGGCAGTAAATTAAGTATACATGATAAAATATCACAGTTTATACTACACAAGAAATCACTATTAAAAGAAAATCAACCAACGAATCAATTTAAAGACGAACAACCACCACTTAAAATTACAGAAGGAATCGAAAAAGTAGAAGTTCTCTTTTGGAAAATATTCAGAAACAAATTTTTATATAATGTAATTTTCTCAAATTTTAAATTCTCTCAAGTTTTCAACTATCAAAGGCTGTACTCTGTAAACTATATATTTTCAAACTATAACAATGCCCAAGAAATAGTTAGGGATAAAGTAAAATCTGGCTCCTATTTACTCTTTCACAAAAAGAAAAGTCAATACCACGAGAACGGTTTTCAATTTATGTTTAAAAATATAGGCCATAATGATAATCCGGATCAAATCAAAGAAAACGAACTATTTTATTCAAAAATATTTAAAAACTATACAAAGTACGAGGAGGAGTCAAACATCATTCAATTTTGTATAAGCTGTGGCAATGTTCAAGCTCTAAAACTATTAAATTCATCCATGGAATCAATAAGACGTGTAATAGAAAATAAATTCTTACCATTTAACATAAAAACATTCAAAGACTTGAAAATGGCACAGTATCTGCAATCTGTTGGTCTAGATATAAGATATGAAATCGCTAAATTTCAATTTTATGAAATCTACAAATCACCATTCAAATTAAAAGATATCATAGAAATTATTCAGTTTTCAATTAAAATGAGGCCAGAGCTATCATCCAAATTCGAAAATATCGAGAAATCTACCAATTTTACGTCGGATCAGCTAAACTCAACTCTAATAGAACTTTTAGAAATCCATTCAGATATATTAGTAAAAGATGAAGCCGTTACAGATGAAATTAATAGTTTAAAATATCAAATTTTACAAATCGTTGACTTTTATTACTCAAACATCCCATCAATCAAACCAAAACCTCAAATCTATTATCTCCTGTTTAAAGATAAAATGGAAATTGGTGAAAAGCTGCTAAAAAACATAAAGTATCGATTGTATACCGAATATGGTGATTTTATCAATTTTCTCAAGTATAAAATCGACCCAGAATTCTTTTTAAATTTTATAAAAAATGTATTGTGCATAAACAATAATGTATTTGACTATATCTTTCAAAACATAGCAAAAAACAGCAATATTCAACTATTAGAATTGGTACTTAATGAACTTTCAGAAATTGTTTTGATAAAGAAAAAAAACCTCATTCTTCAATGTCTGGTATCCACCGAGATATTAGATTACCTTTATACAAACTATCAGAAAATATTTTTTTCAAATCAAGATCAAGAGTTTCTTTTTTTCAAATCAATACCAGTATTGGAACACTTTGGAAAAATAATGAAAAGAGACTCAAGGAAAATTACTCTACTCAACTATCAAGCGCCGCTGTTTGACTTCTACTATCAAGAAAATAGCAATGGAGATATACTATTAAATTTGAATAAAATTGTTTGCAACCCAGATATCTGTACTATCGACCCAAATGCATCACTAGAGTCATTCTCATACAGAATCGTAGAAGAACTTAAAAGAAATGATTATAGTCAAGATTTATTGGTTTCAGTTTTAAATTCTTTCAAATTTAGTACATTCAATTTAGAGCTAATACCGATAGAACACCCAATGAAAATTCAGAGGTTTGCATATTGGCTTATAAGAAATATAAAGAAAATTAACTCAATGCCCTATTTATTTTACATCTCAAACAAAATCACCAACTCCAACACCAGTATCACCAAACCCATAGTACAAGATACCATCCAACTCAGATTTAATAAAGAAATCCATTTAAAACTTCTTTATATAGTAGGTGACTATGACAAGATCTTCGAAATGGAAAACTTAAAAATAGAAGACTATCAAGATTTAATTGATGGATTTGAAAATAATTTCTTAATTCACCAAACAAACTACTTCAACTCTTTAATAACACCAGCATTTGTAGATCAAATATTCAGTAAAATATATGATAATAAAATTTTTAAAGAAAGTTCTTTTAATTTAAATCATTTTTTACTAGATCAAATTATAAGAGTTGGTAACCTACCCATTCTCAAACATTTAGCATTAAACTACAGCTTTTTATTCAAAAAAGTATCGAGCTCAAATCCAAATGGTATGGATGCTATGTTTTTAAAAGAATTATTAATTGATTCGATTAAAATGAACTATTTAGAAATACCTCAACTACTCTCAAATTATATAAACCTAACAAAAAAAGAAATTGAATCAATTGGTAATCCAAACGATTATATATGGTTAAAATATAATCAAGAAAAATAAAATAAAAAAAAGATAATTAAATACTTATTATTTTGGATAAATTAAAAAGGGAAAAATTACTTTTAAATTCTCTTTTATTAAATTTATATATATTAAAAAAAGAAATAAAATATAAGAAATAAAACAAATACAGGTATAAAAACCATAAAAATATTTAATTCGAATCGCTTGTTAAACTAAATAAAATATTGTATTTTATCTTTATTAAATTTTTTATTTCTTTTTAATTTATAATAATTTAATAAAATCGAAAGTTTGAACATCGTTTGTATTGGTAATTGATTTGAATGAAATAACTAAATTACCAGACTCGAATGACCATAACCAATATCCACTTTGGGTAGCATTGTGTTTAATAACAATAGTACGATTTGAGGTGGCTTCTTGGACAGCTTCCAATACCATTTCATCAGTACAACGTTTAGCAAGATTAGCAGCAACTTTTTCAACAACACCTGCAAAAATATGACCAAAACTATTTTTTAAATCGGCTGCAACATGTGGGTAAACAGCTTCTAATGATGATTGGTCAATGGTCCAATCCGCATCTGATTTCATTGCTTTTTTAACAGCTGCTAAATTGGCATCCATTTTAGCTTGGTTTTCTTTAATATTTAAACGAGTCATTAAAGAGTAGGTGCCTTGTGATGGAAGAACAGTTTCTAATTTAGTAGTGAATACATCATTAGTGTTACAGATCTTTGGACGGAATGAGATTACACAGTTACCATCAGCAAATGAATATTGCCAATATGATGGTAATTTTTCATCAGCAGCTACAAAAACAAACTTCTTATTTGGAACAGCAGCTAAGAAAGCTTCTTTGACCATTTCATTTTTACTAACTTTAGTATCGATGTTTTTGGCTAAGTTACCAACAACATCTTTGTAAAAGATTGAACCACAACTATTAGTAACCCAGTTATCGTTACATTTGGTGATGATATCTTCAAAGTCAAAAACAATTTCAAATGGTTCACCTAAAGCTTTTTCAATTGTAGCTAAATGAGTTTTGAAGGTTTCTTCGTTATCTTTTAATGATTTTCTTGAGGTTAATGATAATGGCATTTTAGTTATTTAAATAAAATATATTAATATTTATAATTATTATTTGTATTTAATTTTTGTTTGTTTGATTAAAATAAACTTATTAACTTTGTGCTTTTATACTATTTTTAAAAAAAAATATAAAAAATAATAAGAAAAAATATATGAAAAAAATTAAGAAAATAAAAAAAATAATTGTTTTTTTATAATTATAATATGTATTTTCCATTATTTCTTTTTTTTTTTTTTTTTAGATTTTTTATTTTTATTAAAGAAAAAAATTTTAGATTTTTTTTTTATAAAAAACCATCAATGATGTCATCCAAAACCAAAAAAAAAAAATCAAATAAAGATTCAAGAAAAAAAATAAGAAAATAAAAATCAAATATATTTCAATTAAATTTTAATATTACTTTATTTTATTAAATTTATAAATCAATAATACCATTTATAAATGAAATAGTTTGAGTTGGTAAAGGTATATTTTGTACAGAAGGAAAAGTTGAATTTATTTTAGTTGAATCGATAGCATCTAAATCTGGATGAATTGGGGGACAAGTTGAAGAAATAAAATGGAATAGGTTTAAAGATAAGTTACGGCAATTTCTACTGTGTTGAGCAAGGTTCTCTTGACTAAGTAAATTATATTTATCTATTTTTTCACAAACCTGTCTATTTAATTTATCATCAAAAATTGGGATACCAAAATATATATTTAATGGTACAAACTCTATAGTTTTTTGGAACAATGATGATGCACTTCCTGTTTGTTGATAAGGGTGTGAAGGATAACTATAAAGTTCTTTCTTTAACAAACTGATATAACCAAATGAATGCTTTAAATTAAATACTTCTTGAATCTTTTGAATTAAAGGATGATTTGAAATATTTTCTTCGTTATATTCCTCTTCATTTAAACATGTACTATCATGATCGATCTCCAAATGAGTTGGAAAAGCTACATTGAAAATTACTTGATCATCTTTTTGAGTTGAAACCACACTATTCGAACGGCTATGGCTTTGGAATTTAGAAATCTTTGGTATTGATTCGTATTTAATAAATGAATAGGCTTGTAAAAGTAATGGAGATGAAAGTAGGGTTTCATTTGCAGTTGGTAATAGTTGTGATAAATTAACGGTGATAGGATCGTGGTCGATGGAGCAAACAAAAATCTTTTCGCAATCTTTAAATACCTGTGGAATTTTTCTTAAACGAGTGCCCTTTGGGAAGAGGATAGATTTTGGACCTTTACCAATCATATGATAAAGGTACATTCTAAACCAAAAGCTATGTACTTCGTAAATTGGAGGTCCAAAATTTGGTGGAATCGCAGTTATTACTGGTGTATTATCGGTGGAAAGGGGGGCCATTGAAATTAATACTGAATAATTTTTTTTTAAAACTCTAATTCTGGTTGCTTCATCCAAACTATTCATTCTTTCGCAACTTAATAAATCCAATCCTTGTAGCTGACCACCTATAACATAACGACTTCTTAAATGTCTAATAGTATCTCTTAGAGAAATTGCATTGGTAGCATATAGTTTAGCCTCGGAATCTACAAATTCATCTGCATTAATTTTATCCAACTCTTTTAAGAAATCTTCCAATGCCTCATTTGCCAACTTACCAACTTCAAACATTGTTACTGCATGATTCTTTAAACCATAACCTAAATTACCCATCATAAGAAAAGCTGTAATTGAGGAATCAAATACAAAACCAATTCTTTTTTGTTCTTCACCCATTAATGTTGATTCGTCACTATTTAACATTGTACCACCACTACTTTCATTTTCTGTTTGATCCACAATATTTAATTCATTGTTATCGTTTGTCATATTCTTTGGTAAATTATTGGTATTTAAAAATGGTGAATCTTCTTGTTTATCCTGATAATATGTAATCCAACTTTGATTCCATTTTGATGCTGCTGCTGTTGTTGGTGTTATTGGGGCTGGTGATGTTTCCAATACTATATTTGGTGACTCGCTGTTATTTGATGGCTGTTGACGTGGTGATTGTGGTTGTGGCTGTGGCTGAACTACAACATTTGTTATTAAAGGTTCTAAATTTTTCTTTTTTGCAAAACCCAATCTAATATATAAACTGACGGCCTGCTTAACCAATTCAACATTAATCTGGAGTACCTCGGATAACTTTTGCACAGTTGTTCTTTCATCGATTGAAACAAAAATCTTGTACAATAAACTTTCAAAATAATCTCCTAATACTCTATTCATGACAAAACCCTCCAACGGTGGTACGGAAACAACATCTGAATTTTGAATAGGTACATCTATATAAACTAAGCCTTTACTGACCAATGATAAGACTGCCTCACGTTGGAAAACTCCAGCTTGTCTACCCTGACCGTTTGATTTTTTCAAATCGTCAATTATTTCTAACTCTTGTGATGATAAATTTCTCTCCTCATCTTGGTTTGGATGGCCATACTTAATTATCCACCAATAATCTATATTCTTTTCTAATGATTTTTGTGGCAATAATCCTCTAATAACATCTTTTTTCTTTTTAAATAAATTTCCTTTTGATCTACATTTATTCATTAAGTCTATAAATTGATTTCTACCAATTTCTAAAACCCTTAAACAATCGACTGCTGTAAAATTTGGTAATTCGTCGTATGATTTTGCTAATTTTTAATAATATTAATAATTAAATTTTTATAAAAAAAAAAATTACAATTAAAAAAGATAAAAACTTACAATTTGTCATCGTTTCAATCATCATAATTAAATAATATTTAAATGGTGTTACATTTAACATTGGAACCAATTTATCTGAAATATGGTAAGGATATAACTGATTTATTTAAATAAACATATTAGTAAGATGGTAATAACGTTTTAACTATATATTATACCTACAACTAAATTTGCAACCGATAATCTAACGATTTCTTGATAATATAATCTTTCATCTGTTACAAAGCAACTAATCAAGCTAGTATCCCATCTTAATTGATGCTTTATGCTATATTTCAATACATATTGTTTATATTTAGTGTGTGACTGATCTAAAATTAACTTTGCATGTGATGGTAATGACTCCCATTGAACCTGATTTAAAATATACTTTTCCAATTCTTTTTCTGATGATTGATCCATTATATAATTATATTTTTCAAATATTTTTTGTTATTCATATATGTTGTTATATATTGATTTCTATTATGTATTGCTATTAGTGATATTATGGTAAGCTATTTGATGATAATAATAATGATAATGATAATGATAATATTACTAATAAACAATACTAATGATAGTGGTGTGGGTGTGGTGTATACGAATTAAATAAAACTAACAATTTAGAAATAGAAATAGATTTATAAATAGTTTGGTGTGTTATTAAAAAAATAATAAAAAACAATTTTAACCACACAATCCAAAAAAAAAAAATTTGAAGAAAATTAAATATATATTATATATATATTGGTATATTTAAAAAATAAAAATAATAAAAATAAGTAAATAATTTAATTTAAAAAATTTTAAAAAATTTAAAAAATAAAAAAAAATTATTTTTTTTTTTTTATAAAAAAATTATTTTATTGAATTTAATTGAAATACCATTTTAAAACAAATAATTCCCTTTTATTTTCTTTTCTTTCTCATTATTGTATATATATATTTGTATAATGGGGGGTTTTTTTTTATTTAACAAGATTAAAATATTTTATTTATTTAAAATAACCTTTTTTTAATTTTTTATTATTTAATTTTTTTTTTCTTTTTTTTTATTTTGTTTTTTTATTTTTATAATCCCATTTCTTAATTATCTATTTATTAATCAGTTTATATATTTATAATTTTATCATAATCATTAATTTTTAAATTAACTTTCCTCATCATCACTATCAGTTTTTTTTTTTTTTATTTTTTTTTTTTCGTTTTCGTGAAATTTTATTTATTTTTTTTATTATTTTTATTTTTTTTTTTTTATTTTATTTTTTTTTTTTTCTCAATTTTGTACAATTTTTCATCCATTCAAAAAAAAAAATATTTATTGATTTGTTTTACATATCACCTTATCACACCTCATCAAATTATCTATATATAAATATTTATATAAATTTATTTTTTTTATAAAAACAACTTTTTTTTTTTTTTTTTGTAAATACATTATAATAATAAAAATAAAATAAAAATGAAATTTGATAATAATAATATCAGCAAACACCCATTTATTATTGGTGTTACAGGTGGTACAGCATCCGGTAAAACTACAGTCTGTGATGAAATTATGAAAAGATTAGGTCATAAAAGAATTGCCATCATTTGCTTAGATTCATTTTACAGACCATTAACCAAAGAAGATAGAGAAGAAGTCGCCAGTTATAATTTCGATCATCCAGGTATATATTATTAAACATTAATAATTAGTGCATATAGAAAAATAATCAATTGGAATACCATACAATCAATAAAAAAAAAATAAAATAAATTTTATTAATATTTATTTTATTTATTTTTTTTATTATTATTAAGATGCTTTCGATTGGCAATTAGTTCAAAATGCATTAATTGACTTAAAAGAAGGTAAAAATGTCAATATCCCAACCTATTGTTTCAAGTCACATTCACGTTTAGAAGAAACTGTCGAACTCTGTGATGCCGATGTCATTCTCTTTGAAGGTATCCTCTCATTTTACACAGAATCTCTTCGTAATCAAATGGACATGAAAATTTTTGTAGATACCGATTCCGACACAAGATTAAGCAGAAGAGTAATGAGAGATATCGCCGAAAGAGGCCGTAACCTTGACAGTGTCCTCTTCCAATACGAAAAATTTGTTAAACCAGCTTTTGATGATTACATCCTCCCAACTAAAAAATATGCTGATGTTATCATTCCAAGAGGTGCCGATAATGTAGTTGCTATTGATTTAATCGTTCAACATATTAGCTCAAAATTATCAGAAAAAGAATTTTTAAGAAAATCACAACAACTTTAAAAAAAAAAAAAAAAAAAAAAAAACCCCCCTGATAATTGCAATTAATAATAATCAATAGGCCAGATAGTTTTTGTTTAAACCAAAAAAAAAAAAAAAAAAAAAGAAAGATATTTTTTTATAAGGAAAAAAGTATATAAAATTTTAATATAAATAAAATAAATAAATAAATAAATAAATAAATAAATAAATAAATATTTTATAAAACAAACTTCATCAGAGATATACGATTACATTAAGGGTTAGAAGTGGAAGTGTTCCCATCAAAAACTGTTGTTGTCATTCGTTAAAAAATTTTGATTTTATTATAATTTTATTTTTTTTTATTTAATTTTTTTTTTTAATTTATTTTTTAAAAATTATTTATTTTTTTAATTTTATTTTTTTTTTTTTTAAAAATTTTTTTATTTTTTTATAACAATTGTTTTTACCAATAACAATCATTAATTATTTACAATTAGTTTATATATTAATATATATATATTACCACCATAGTATTTAAATTTATAAAAATTATAAACAATATTAAAATAAATATAGAAAAATGTTATCATTAGAAGAAAGATTAAAAATTAAAAAAGAAGAAGAGAAAGAAATCGAACAAATTAAAACAAGTGTCCTTTCTAAGGTTAGAAAAGAAAAAACTTTTTTTGATTATGTCAAATTTTATTTTTTAAAGATGGAGGCCGAAACTGGTTTATATTTTGGAACTACTTTTGAAAAATATGTTTATGGTAATTGTCATATAATATCATACATCTATAATAAATAATAAATAATAATAATAATACAATAGTTTCTCGTGATAATACTCATGATAATAGTAATGATACTAATAGCTTTATTTTTTTTATAACAGTTATCATTTCACTTATAGTAATTCTTTTTTCAACTTATAACTTATTAAATCTCTTATTCCGCTTTTTGTAAATTAATAAAAATAAATAAAAATAAAGTATATACATGTTAAATAATATTAAAAGTAATAATATTAAAATACTCATAGAAACAACCAACTAAAAATTAAATAATAATAGTAATAATAACAATACTGTAATAAAGAATTTATTAATACCAGTACCCAAAAATAGTTGTTTTTTTTTTTTTTTTTTTTAATGTTTTAAATAAATTTTCATATGATTGGATAGATTATTAGCGAATATGTATTTTATTATTATTTTTTTTTTTTTTTATTGAAACGTAAATGTTTTTTTTTTGTAAATTAAAATGGGGGGTCATTATAAATATTATTTAATGTATTTACAATGTTAGCCATGGTAGTTAATTCAGTTTTTTTGTATATTATAATTTGTATATAGTGGTCGTGTATATAACCCCATTAAATAATTGTTTTTCTTTGACTTTTTATTAAATTTTTTTAATATTAAATGTGTGTTGGTGTGTATTATTGTATTTTGTATGTTATTTTTTTCTATTAGTGAAATAATTAATATATTCATACACACACTTGGTGGTGATCACACATATTTTTCATTTTTTCCCCCAAATACTTTTTTTTTTTTTAATTATTATTTTTTTTTCAATGTAAAAATAACAATATGTCATTAATTATCATAGCAACCAAATCATATATTTAGTAAATAATAATATATATTCACATAAATAATTTTTTTTATTTAATTTATAATTTTTTTTTTTCTACTTTTTTTTTTTTTTTTATTACTCTTTTTTTTCATTTCATTTATATCTGTAATAATTGTTATAATAACTACTATCATTATTTTTTATAATATTATTATTGTAATATTAAATAGCATTAAATAAACACACAAAAATGATGCCAAAATATATCGCAGCAATTCTTCTTGGTTTTTTAGCTATGGGCCATGTCGTATGTACAATTTTTTTTATTTAATACTATTTATTTTTTCAAAATTCTAACAACTATTTTAATTTTATAGTCAGCTGAAAAAAATGCTGAATTAGAAAGATGGTTTAATTCAATTGAACCAAGCGAACTAAATGCATTCCAATTAGATATCTATAATCAATTAGCTACAATGGACAACTATTCAAATGAATGGAAAGGTGTATTGAAAATGATGGTTAGTGATGTAAAGCACAATGAAAATAGTGCCCAATGGAGTCTTATCCATAACAAATGGAGCCAAGGTTACAATTACCAAAGAGAAAAACAAGAATTAGAAAGTGCCAAGAAACAAGAAATGGAAAATGAAAACCAAAAAGAACAAGAAGGAGAACAAGAAGAAGAACAACAAAATGTTCAACAACAAGATCAAGAGGAGCAACAAGAAGAGCAACAAAATGTTCAACAACAAGACCAAGAAGAACAAGAAGAAGGTCAACAAAATGCTCAACAACAAGACCAACAACAAGAAAATCAACAACAAGACCAACAACAAGAAAACCAACAACAAGAGCAAGAGGAAGAACAACAACAAGCTCAAGAAAACCAACAACAAGATCAACAACAAGAACAAGAACAAGAGGAAAATGTTCAACAACAAGAACAAGAAGAACAACAAGACAATGTCCAAGGTTTACAAATTGATTTATTGGGTAACCGTATTGACATAGGCTTCCAAGCTAACCAAGCCAATGAAAACAATGCTAAACCAAAAGTTAATGCTGATGAAATTAAAAATAGTAACAATGCTAAACAAACCCCTGCTATTCAAAATAGAAGCCAACAAAAACAACAACAAAACCAACAAAACCAACAAAACCAACAAAATCAACAAAATCAACAAAATCAACAAAATCAACAAAATCAACAAAATCAACAAAATCAACAAAATCAACAAAATCAACAAAATCAACAAAACCAACAAAACCAACAAAATCAACAAAATCAACAAAATCAACAAAATAACCAAGTAAAAAACTCTCCACAAAAAGAAAATGAAGCTAACAATGGTCTTTTCGTTAACCTTGGTGTCTCTAAGCGTCAAATTATCCAAGATGACCAAGAAGGTGAAGAGTTTGATGAAGAATTTGATTTTGAAAATCAAGAAGAGCAAAGAGATGAACAAAATAACCAAAATCAAGAAGAAGAGGTTAATAATCAAGAAGAAGTTGAAGAAAACAATAACCAAGAGCAACAAAAAGAAATTGAACAAGAAGAAGAACAAGAAGAAGCCAATAACCAAGAGGGTCAAGAACAAGAAGAGGAAGCTAATCAACAAGAAGAAAACAATAACCAAGAACAACAAGAGGTTCAAGAAGAAGCTGAAGAAAACAATAACCAAGATGGTCTAGAAGAAGCTAACAATGGCTTTGAAGTTGTCTCTGAATTAGAAAAAGAAGTTATTCGTCAAATTAACAATGTAGAAGCTGACTACTATGTTGACTCAGCTATTGTTGAACAAGCAAAACAAATTGTTGCCAGTGGCAGAAATGCTGATGAAGAGTAAATCAGTATTACTTTTTATTAAAACAAAAAAACTAGTAATTTAAATATTTTAAAATTAAAAACAAATAAATAAAACTTTTAAAAAAATAAAATAACTATTGCCTTTATTTAGATAATTTAAAAAGATTCTCAATTTATAATGTTAAAGTTTTAAAAATTGTATCAATAGTAATGAAAAAAGGAACAAGGGATTTTTTTTATTAAAATTAGTTAATAGTAATTTTCTGAGGTTTTGAACTTGAATCTTTCACAGCAAAGCCATAAACATGCTTGAACATTTGTTTGCCAGCATTATTGACAACTACTCTTTCCCAACCATCCATGTTTTTAATTATACCGTCTGTAACTCTATTTAAATGACATCCATCGGTAAAGATTCCCCAAAGGGGATTAAAAAGGTGTTCTATTGATTGGTAAACTGGGTTTTCAGAGATTACATGCTCGATAAATAATAATTTACCACCTGGTTTTAACAAATCTTGAATTTCCCCAATGATTCTTTCATAATTTGGTATTGAACATAATACAAGATTACAAATTACTGTATCGAATGTCTGTGGCTCGATATCATTATCCTCTATAGCTTTCGCAATAGTTTTATTTAATACACGAATTGGGAAATCACTTGGCTGTTGTTGTATGGTTTCTAATAATTTATCCATCATGAATGGGTTTGGTTCTAATGCTATTACACTCTTTATTTTGTTATTATTGGCCAAGTATTTGAAAGTTGGACCCATACCCGAACCTACATCTAAAACATTTCCTTCTGCTTGGCTAAATAATTCCTCTTTAAAATGACGAAGTTTGTAGTCCATAATTGGGCTTAACTGGGACCTATTTATTAAAAAATAAATATTAATATTTGAATCTTTTTTTTTTTCTACCTTTTTTTTTACCTACCATATCTTATTAAAAATATACTGCTTGAGGTGGTATTTTTGATTATAATGCTGAGCCATTTTATAAACAAATACTGATGAAACAATACCAGCAGTTGCAATCTTTAACTGAAATTGATTATTTAAAATATTCATTTCTTTTGTTTTTTTTTATATAAATGAAATAAACCCACAAACTAAATTGATGAAATAATGTGAAAAAAAAAAAAGAGAAAAAAAATAATTAAAAAAAAAAAAATTTTAATTTATAAAAAATTTTAAAATTAAATTAAAATTAAAAAAAAAAATTAAAAAAAAAAAAAATTAATATTTAATAAGCAAAAGATGGAATTTTATGTTATTTGAAATTTATACAAGTTAATATATATACGTTTAAAAAAAAATTAGTATATACATTTTTGAATTTATTAGGTTTTTTGGTGGTATGTTTTTTTTTTTTTTTAAATATATCTAAATTATTTTAAATATTTTGTAAGCCTAAAAGAAGACTTGCGGCATCTGATTGTTGTTCATTTTTTATACAGGAGGAGTTATTATTTGGTGTTGAGGTTGATGATGATGAGGTTGATGATGGTTTTTTAATATCTTCTTCATTATCAGAGTTATTTGAATTATTTGAAACAAGGAATGATAAATTACCCTTTGTTAATGGTGGCAATATATTTTTGGAACTATTTAAATTTCTGTTAATTGGTGATGATGATGGTGTTGGATATTCAGAATCTTCATTTCTATTAAAAGAAGATCTTGCATTGTTATTTAAAATATTTTCTTCATCTTCCTCTCTTTCTCTTTTTCTTATATTTTCATTATTTTGTTCATTATTTAATCTTTCATTTTGGCCATTATCTTCATTTTCTTCATCATGATAATTAAAGTTTGGAAGACGATTGGATTTATTGTTGTTATTATTATTGTTACTATTGTTACTATTATGGAATAAATGCTCTTGTTTCAATTTAACTTGTTCAATTTGTTTTTTGATGAAATTGCTTAATTCGTCATAATCATAATTTAAAATATCTTGAGCCATACCAGGATTTGATGCAAACAATTGATCAAGTTGTTGTTGGAAACTATGGAAGAAAGCTGGGTGGAGGTTACTTGGTAAAAGATGAGCAATGTTGGTAGCACTTATAATTTTATTAATTGATTGTAAGTGTTGACTACTTAAACCACTTTCTCTATTATTGTTATTATTACTATTATTATTTTGATTTTGTTTTTCTTTAGCAAGGAATGATGCTAATTGATTCTTAAGTTCAGAGGTTGGGACTTGTGAATTAAATAATTTTGGGAAAGCATTATTATTACCACCACCATTGCCATATTGTTGTTGGTATTGTTGTTGTTCGGTATATTGTTTCGATAATAAATAGATATCTCTTGGATTCATTTCTGGACCGTTGAATTTTAATGATGGGATATTTCTTGGTGGTTGTTGGGAATAACCTTGTGGTGATCTTGGCATTTGAGAGAGGTGTTGTGGTGGCATTTGTTGTGATGGATGTTGTGGGTGTTGTGGATGTTGTGGTGGCATTTGTTGTTGTTGTTGTTGTTGTTGCTGTTGTTGTTGTTGTTGTTGTTGGAACAATAATGAAGTTGGAACTCTACTATTATGGATTGCTTGTTGGTATTGGGTTTGTTGAACATATTGTTGGTATTGTGGGGAATTTTGCATTGGGTGACCATGTGGTGGACCTTGAACATATCCTGGGTGATTATTATATTGTAACATTTTGTTATTAACAATGATTGGTGGTGAAGTTTTATTGGTTAATGGAATTTGTTGTTGCATAATAAGATATTGGTATTCTGGGTGTTTTAATTTGATGTGCATTTTAAGAGCATTTTCTGAACCATAGATCTTTTGACAGTTAGCCATGGAACATTTGAAACTTCTATCGATTTCAACAGCCTTTCTTCTCTTTCTCTTTTTACGTGGGTCATCGTCATCGTCTTCTTCGTCGGCAAGATTACTTAAATCACCAGAGACTCTTTTTTGGGAACCACCAGAGATTTCATCAACATCATCATTATCCATTAAAAGGTTAACTTTTGATGGCTCTGGTGATGAAGATGAGGATGAGGCAGAAGATCTCATTGGTTTTTCTGCATTAATATTACCACTTGATGAAGAGAGGTCCTCAGCAGAAGTTGGTACATCATCGGTATTACTATTAATTTTTGGTGATGATGAAGAGGATGATGGAGCATTACTAATAAATAAGGTAAAGGTTTCTCCAGCTGGAAGAGTTGGTGCAATAGCAACAATATCGCCATCCTGGTCCTTTAAAAACAATCTAACATTGCTTGGTAATTGGAATACGGTTTAATAGCTTCTTCGATAGTTTGTGATGCTGTTGATCCCATACCAGCTTACAAATTCCTCTTTACCATTGAAGATTACTGAAACCTTAGTTTTTGAACCACCTTGTCCTTCTTACTGGTTGTTGATCTTGTGAGGATGACAATGATGAGGATGCACTAAGTGGTGATGATGACGATGAATTTGGGAATTGTTTTAATGGAAACATTGAAGCTTCAATTGGGTTTAAAATTGATTGATTCATTATTTTAAATTATATTTTTATGAAAATGTGTTTTATGTGTGAGTGTGAAAAAATTATTGTGTTTTAGTTAATTTAAGATTTAAATAAACTTATAAGATGATCGCTATGGAAAAAATGATGATTTTTTAAAAATAAACTATGTTTGTTTTCTTTTGAAAAGATCCTTCCCATTAATTATTCTATAATATCATTTGAAAGAAAGATAAAAAAAAATAAAAATTAAGATTATATTAGTAATTTATATTTTTTTATTTTCACAAATTACGAAAAATAAAAAATAATTTTAAAAAAAATAAAAATATTTAAAAAAATAATTAAAAAAAATAAAAAATTAAAAAAAAATAAAAAAAAAAAACAAAGTTTTATTAAAAAACTAAAATACAAATAAAAAAATAAAATAAGGAATAAAACAGAGATATGTACATATGATATTTTTATTTTTATAATGTTTTCTTATTTTTTTTTTATTGGTTTTTGTTTAATGTTACAATATTATATTATATTTTATTTTTAAATTTCTAAAAAACACAATGAATATTTTATTAGATATACAAATTTAATGTGTGTGTTTATTTTTTTTTTTGGTTTATAATTTGTTATTTTTGTTCTATTGTTTTTTGTTGTTTTATTTTGTTAAACCATAGTATAGATTAAAAAGAAAAAATTTTAAAAAAAAAAATAAAATACTGGTTTGGATTTTAAAAATTAAAAAGAAATGATTAAAAAAATAAAATAAAATAAAATAAAATAAAATAAAATAAAAAAAACCAAATAAAAAAATTGTTTTTAATAAATACGTATATAACTATTTTTTTAAAAAGAAAAAGGACTTTTTTTTCATGTATAATATCTAACGAATGTTGTCAGTTTATACTATAAACAAATACACAATATTGAAAAAGATGAAGAGGCACAAAAAAAATGAAAAAAAAACAAATTATTTTGGAATTATTCTATCAAAGAAATTAAACAAGATATGTGGTGGTTACTATTAATTTAGACCCTGTTTTTTTTTTATAACTACTTTTTTTTATATTTTTTATAATTTTTATTTTTTTAAAAATAATTTTATTTATTTTATTTTATTTTATTTTTTTTATTTTTGATATTTTATTTTAGGTGGGTTAACCTAGGCTAAGGTCCCCTTTAAAAATTTTATTTATATATATAGTTTATAAAATATAAAAAAATAAAAATAAAAAAATAAAAAGAAAAAAACTAAAACACTGCATTTAAAAAAAAGAAAATAAAAAGAGAAAAATAAAATGAAAATAAAAAAATAAAAAAAATATAAAATATTTTCTATAAAACTTTTGAAAATGAAAAGCCAATATAGATATTGATTTTTTTTTTAGG